GTGTTTCTCTACTTTAAAATTATATTCTTAGATTTGAGATCGTTCTTACATTTGCTCTGCTCAGTCATTTAGGAATTGCAGTGCTGGGCCATGTTTTGTAACTTTTATCGTTTCTCTGCCCCTTTCTGTCTCTCTACTGCTAAGTGTCATGCTTGCATCTTTTCCTGGTTGTGATGTTCCAGTTTCTCTGGGCAGCACTGAACAGGCAGCCAAACTTCATTTTTCACTTGTTGCATAGTTTTTGTTTTTCTACCTTTTAAGCAGTTTTTCTTCCTTTTTTTTCCCCCCTCTTTTTTATTGCATAGAGGAATTAATAAAATGTGCCTTGACACTGGAGAATAAAGCCTACATTTACCAGAAGTAATTTGTCAAATTTCAGTTTTTATTGTGGCAGTGTGTCATACCTGAAACCTTACATGACATATTTCCTTTGTTCCTTACATAACTTCATATTTCTCTTGAGAAAAGCGATGGATGCCAATTAATAAAAATCAAACCCTGAAATTTACAACTGTTCATCAACTGCCTCTAAGTTCTCCTTATAAATAAGTACTGCTTACATAAAGGCGTACTCATACGTAAGAGTATTTTCCCCAAAAGGACTTGTGTAATTATTGTTGTAAAGAGGTATTATTATATAAATATTTACAGTATAATGATGACAGAGGTAAATGTTGACCAGTCAAAAAAGAACCACAACAAGAAAACTCAGCTTTCCCAGACTCCAAGGTATATGAGTGCAAGACACTTTAATAAAACCTGAACTTACGTTGTTCTGCATTCAATCTTCAAATCCAATAAAGTGGTTTTGAATGTCAACACATACCTTATTTTGTCAAAATAAGCCTTTCTGCTGCTCTGCTTCAAATGGAACCTGAAATAGAACCACCTCAATAGTAGATTCAACGTATGTAGCCTATCTTAGATCAGGACAATACTGTGGATAAGTGGATAATTAAGAATGAACTAGTGGTCTGTCTTGAGAACAAATTAAGAAAAGCCTCCAAGTGGAATTTCTAAGACTATACCCTTACGGCTTGGCTTTTTTTTTTTTTTTTTTCCTTCAGTTACTATGTGGAAGGTGTTGACAGAAAATGAAATTTTAATTTTATACATAGCCAACAACATAGCCAACAAATCTTAATTGTGGCCTGATTTTTAGTAATGAGACCTTAGCAAAATATGTATGTCACCAGGGGTAAAAAGATTAAGCATTTTGGAAACATCCTGAAACCTGTTTTCAGCCACCTGTCTTAAATTGCTCCTCCTTTTCCAAGAAAAAAATTTGTTGCCTTCTGAAGCCGCTCTGATTGAAAGTGACACTTACTCACTAGAGAGAAGTGATATTCCCAACTAGCCAACTGTGCATGAATATCAAATGCACACTTGTTCATAAATCATCAAATTAAATATTCAGTTAATACAGAATAATTAACCTGAGAAATTACTATTCTCACAGAAACTGTTCAAGCAAAAAATCTGGCCTAGTGATTTTTTAGAACAGCTACATTTCAGTTGGAACTGGGCAAAAAAGTTGTTTGTAACCTTTTCTGAGCAGCTTAAACCAAAATCAATATTTGTTGTGGTTGTTGGCTCTTACTGCAGTAATGGCTGCTGTTTTCTGCTGTATATATTTAGCATGCTTATTGCTTGAAAATATAAGTTATTACATTGCTCTTGTTGTCTCATGGCAGATGTCACGTGTATCTGGTCTGCACAAAGCTAGCCCACAAAAACCATCATGGGGTATTTTGTTTTTTTTTATGTCCCCTCCTCCAGATGACTATGGCTTTTCTGTCTGTTTAATAGTATCTGAAAGAGAAATCTCAGAACTGATGGGGTGAATCTCTTTATTATCTTGTGGTTTGTTTCAATTTGAACAAAAAGGAATGATTTATTGAGCCGAAAGAAAAATTGCCTCCCTTCTGGATTGTGTAGATTTGTGTAAGTGTAGTTTTTGGGTTTCCATTTAAAAAACGAGGGGAGAGAAGGGGAAATTGCACATGCAAATTTCAAAGCTTCAGTTACTGTTTAGAGAGGAAAAACATCACAATGACTCAGAAACAATTTTATAATTTGAGCCTTGCAAACTGTGTACACAGTGGCTTGTGCACTGCAATCAAGGGGAAAAAATATATTTATATATATTTCATAGAAGGTGGCTGCAGCCCACTGAAGCAAATAACAAAACTCATTAGCTTAACTGGGGTCAAGGTTTCATTTAGTCTTTTTATAGTAACTCAGTTGCATGGTTTTAATTTTGCAGTCAACACAGTAATAATTTCCAACAATCATTAAGACGCTTGGATACCTTGGTGAAAAACACATCCAGAGAAGGATAAATATTTAACTAGCTATTTCATCATAAACTTACAATTTATTTATTATTTTCAAAAATAATGTTCTACATGGAAAATTTTACTGATCCTTGAATGTTACTTTTGAGCCATTTATGAAATTTGAGTTTAATGACAGGCAGATGATTCATTCTAGAAGGATATATGAACAGAAAGTATTACATAATATGTGATAAAGTACAGAAATCACTTTAATTTTAGGATATCTTTAGGATATTTTTCAAGTGCTCTGCTCTCATGGATCCCACATTTATTTGGGTACCTTTGCCTGTCCGCTGCTCTGAAACACTAGTCACTGTGTGTCCTCCTCGGAGGGAGCGCAGGGGTCAGAAGACGTTATTTTGTCATCATCACAAGTGTGTTTTGATTTACTGCTGAGATAACAGCTCTTGTACAGTTTATGATTAAATAACAGTGGAGAGAAGACGCCTCTAACTTTTACCATGAGCTCATTAAGAGAAGTCACCAATATTTTTTTATATTATGGTTGCTGAATTAATCTTGCAGTAAAATGTTAGTGCTATCTCACTGCTAGGAATTTAGAGCCGAATAGCTAAAACACCTCAATAACAACAGCAACACTTATTTAGCATCCAGTTGAGAAGCTGGGGTGGTATAAGCTGCAGCACCATCAAAATCTCCTTTGTTTGTTTTTTGTTTTTTGTTTCAGAGAGTAAACGTGATTCACGAAGAACATACACTCTACAGAATTACTTGAATGATGACTATCAGTACAAAACATACGATTTGGAGTGGATTTCGGGTAATTCATTTCTGCATATAGCATGAATATCAAGAAAAGTACTACTTTCAGTAGGGACTTATCTGAGTGCTCATAGGTGACTATTATATACTGAAAAAAATTATGTAATGGTGCCGTTACCTCAGAGCTGTGACTTTTTTTTTTTTTTTTGTGCGTGTGGTATTCATGGCAAGATTAACTCCCCTGTTAAAAGCTTGCTTGCTTGCTTCTATGCATTTTTGTATATACTCTGAAGTGTGTTCCTGTGCATCAGGATAGTTGGGGAACAGTGAGATGTGGGGCTCTCTTCCCTTTGGATATGACTAGTCCCCCAACAGGAAGAGATGCCTAGAGGCTGGGACTGTGAACCCAAGGCACACATGTGAAAATTCTCATGCTGTATGCATCACTTTATTACCCTATTGAGAACAGAATATTGACCAAATTGTTGATTTTTTTTTTTGTGCCTTAAAACATATGGAAAAAGAGAAGTAACTGATAAGCATATTACTCCACTGTTTAATGACATCTGTCTTGCTTTCTTAGGAAATCAGTACCTGCACAAAACAGAGAATGGTGACATCCGACTCTTTGATGCTGAGAGTGGAACATCTTCAGAAGTGTTGTCAAATACAACAGTAGTATGTTCACTGATATGTAGTACATTCAGACTTACATATAAGATATCCAGAAGAGTATTGAATTTAGCCTTTCTTTCTGCCCATTTCTCTGGAGTCCGTGCTTCATTTGTTCTTTTTTTTTATTCACAGGACAAATACAAAGCAACCACAGTTCTGTTGTCTCCTGACCAAAAGTATGCTCTTCTGCAGTACAGCTATACAAAGGTACAAGTGCACTTTAAATGTATGAAACTGGAAAACAGAGGTTTAGGAAGGACTGAGCAAAAGATGGTCTTCAAAGCAGGAATCAGTACTGGGCTGGAAGGGAGCAAGGGAAATGCAGGAAGATGGTTGAATGCAATGGATGTCTGCAAGGGGATACTGAAGTATGGTTAGACAGGAGGAAACCTAATGGGGATAGTAATTAATCTTATAATCCTAATTAATCCTGTTGTATTTACATTGAGGAATCAGTAGCATTTTTTTTTCTTTAGAAAGAGAGCTGCCTATTAACTGCAGAAAGTTTAGGGGTGACTTGTGCAGCACGTGAATACCACAGGGCTATTTTGGCTCTGCAATCCACGAATGCCAAGAATGTTACAGCCACAGTCTGTGCAGTCAGTCATCACTTTATTGCAGTTTCAGTTTCTGTGATAGGTTCTATTAAACAGTTACTTCTGCCTCTCTAGATTGTTCAGAAATTTTGTCATTTTACTGCATCTTTAGTGACCACAAAATATCTTATATTTTTATAGATAGACTTACCATCTAATCATGATTTATTTTTCTGTATTGTTTTATCTACTGTAGTCATAACAGTTTATTTTAATGTGCAACTAGGTCTTTTAACCTTTATATAATACTGTGACTGAAATTTATGTTGTTATTAATCTTTATTGCAAGAAAACAAAGTAACAAAATGAATCATGAGGATGTGGACACAACTTATGTAATAGCCATCTGCTTGTGTAGTATCAAGATATTGTTTTATATCTTCATACAAATCTTTAAGATCAATCATAAAAGGTAGCATTATTGTCAACACCGTGGGCTAAATCAAACATCTTCAGCCCCTCAAAGTGAGCACTCTTTTATATGTCTTTACATTATCATCATCTTTCTCCCTGAAAGTGCCCACGGTGATTCAGACTTCGAGAGGATTTATTTCTGTGACAATATCTGA